TGCCAGGTGAGCCCCAGGGCAGCGGAGCACAGGCCCCTCCGGGGCGGGCAGTGGCCCAGGGATTTGCTCTACTCAGCAGCTATGTATAGTGCTGGCAGCGGGCGTTCCTTGGGAACTCTCGGTTTGAGTCAGGGAGTGCATCTGTCCTGTAATTTTCCAGGGGGAGAGAGGGAAATCTGAGTTTGGAGCGTAGCTAGAGCTGAGATTCTGGAGCTGCGCCTGTGCCTTCCTGTTCTTCCTCCTAAATCTGTTCTCCTTCCTCCAGGTGGCTTCCTGTTTGAAGGGCTCTCTGATGATGAGGATGACTTTCACCCAGTAAGTGGCCCGGCCGTCTGCTGTTTGGGGGAGATGTGCCGGGGTGCGCCCCTCCCCGGGACCTGGCACGTGCCAGCAGGGAAGTGGTCAGAGGCCCTTTGGGGGCCCATCTGTGTCACACTGTTGCTTTCTGAACCTGGCAGCTTGGGGAGTCTCCCTAAGAACTGACCCTGGAGCGGGTGGGGGTTCGTCTGGGAATGTCCCAGTGCTGCTTCCCTGACTCTGGGCGCCTCCCTTGTCCAGAGCGCCAGGTCCACACCCTCGAGCAGCACACCCAGCTCCCGCCCAGCTTCCCTGGGGTACAGTGGAGCTGCCGGACCCCGGCCCATCACCCAGAGTGAGCTGGCCACCGCCCTGGCCCTGGCCAGCACTCCGGAGAGCAGCTCTCACACACCGACTCCTGGCACCCAGGTATGGGAAGAGGGCCGGAGGGTGGCGGCTGGGCCCCAAGGGAGAAGGTCCCCGGGGTAGACTGGGTTCCCTTTGCTGACCCTGGCGCTGGGTCTGCTTTGGGCTGAACTCTGCCTGGAGCCCCGGTGGGGTTCCCAGTGCAGCTCAGGTGACCTCCCCCTCCCTGCCTTTAAGGCTCAGGAGTCTCTGGAGTTCAGCACAGCCCTGGTGGAGTCCTCCTCCCAGCAGGTGGGAAGAACCTCCCCTCACATAAGGTGCCCTTACTTTTTCCTGAAAGTGGCCAAACGACACGGGCTTATGCATTCCTGGTGGCAGTCACTCCAGCGTCCAAGGCCGTCTTCCAAGGCCTTCCCAGTGCTGGGTCCTGGACTAGGGCGGGGGCCCAGTTCCATCTCTCTGGACAGAAGAGGATGGAGCCTTTCCTGCCCACGTGGAGAACTTTCAGGCACCTCTGTGGGGTTGTCTCGTGCAGGCCCCTGCTGGGAGGCAGTTGCTGGGCCTTCGGGGCACTGACGGGTGATGCGACAGGAGTGGGTGTGTGCTGGAGACTGAGACGGCTGTGAGGGTGGCACTGATGACTGGTTTGTGTCTAGGGCCATTCCTCTGGGACCTCCCCGATGTCCTCCACGTCCAGTCTGGGACGCCCATCACCAACGATCTCTTCAGCCAAGCCCTCCAGCACGCCCTGCAGGCCTCCGGGCAGCCCAGCCTGCAGGTCAGTCTTCCCCGCTCCTGGTGCCCACGCGGCTTCTTAGTTACTTTCGACCCTGAGCTTTCTTCTGCCCTCTGGAGGGCCTTCCCACTTGGCCTGCTTTGCTCTAGGAGGAGCTGGGACGTGGCAGTGTGACAGGGGAGGCTGCTCCCAGCAAGGCCAGTGGTCCCTGTGGCTTCCACCGCTGCACCCAGTGACCGTGGCCTGACTCCAGTGACCGCCTGGCTTGGGTACCTGTGGCAGTTTTGGTGAAGAGGTCACTCACGCATTCTGTGAGCGTTGACTGAGCGTTGAGCACGCATGTACCAGGCCTGGGTCCAGCTGCGGGGGTGGAGACGAGCCAGTCCTCACCCCTGCCGTGGAGGTCACCAGGCAGTTCCTGAGCGGGAGCAACAGGGGGAGAAGCCCAGCCCAGGCTTGAGGTGAGGGCCCAGGCCAGGGAGCGCTTCTCTGAGGAAGCGGCGTTTGGGCTGACTGTCAGAGACTTGGTTAAGGTTAGCCAGGCAGAGGAAGGGGTGTGTGTTTGTGGGAGGGGTGTTCGGGCAGAGGCAGCCACCTGTCTGAGGGGATGCGGAGGTACACGTGACAGCCTGAAGTCGGCAAGACCAGAAGGCAGCGTCCTGGTGGCAGATCCTCAGGTGGAGCTGGAGACAAGGAGGGCGGGAGCCTGAGAGTGAGCGCCCTGAGTGCCTGAGTGAGGTCAGACTTGTCCTGCAGTGACCAAGGAGCCACGGCAGGTTTCCAGTGGGGAGTGACAGCATCTCCCCGGCTCCCCATCATGGAAAGTGGAAGCTTAGCTAGCAGCTCAGTGGGTGGCCCAGGGGATTCACGTTTACCATGTGCCTCGTGCACCAGCTGTTTGCTTCGCTCCCTTTCCTTTGCTCCTCACGGTCAGCCTGGGGCATGAATGTCATTTCTGGGACTCGTTCATGGTCCTGAAGCCGTTAAGTGGTAGAGATGGGGTCAAGCCTGTGTGGTTTCCCTGCCCCACGTGGCCGTGGTGGACAGGGAGGGGAGCAGGGACAGGACCCGTGGACAGCTGGGCTCTTTGGTCCCTTCATCTTCCCAGCCTGATGCCTGTCCCCTCTGCTCTGCAGCTCAGGAGCGTTCACAGCTCCACCTGGCCTGTGAAATGAATTTGAGTTGCTTTGTGTGGTTTTTAAAAGCCTTCTGCATCCTCACCCTTCCTGCCTGCCTCCCTGAATTTGCATGGCATCCGCACTGCCTTCT